CCGATCAATGACCTCACCAGGAAAGATGTGCCGTTTGTTTGGGGAGTAGAGCAGGAAAGAGCCTTTAAAGAATTGAAGGATAGGATGTGTAGGGCGCCAGTATTGGCTCACTTTGACCCTTCGTTGAAGACACTACTACAAACAGATGCGTCGTTCTTCGGCTGGGGTTTCATAATTTCGCAGGTGAACGAGTTAGGACAAGAGCATCCGGTGGCCATCGAATCCGGAGCGTTCCAGGCGGCGCAGTTAAACTATACGGTAGGGGAAAAGGAGCTACTCGCTATTGTTGAAGCTTTCAGGAGAAGGAGACACTTACTACTACAGGTAGAGACTACAGTTCTCACAGATCATTTAAATTTAACTTACTGGATGGAACCTAAACAGCTTAGCCCCAGGCAGGGTAGGTGGGTCGAAGAGCTCTCTAACTTCAGGTTTAAAATGGTGTATCGACCGGGAAAACAAGCTACACTGCCGGACGGACTGTCGAGAAGAGCAGACTACCACTCAGGAAAAGGAAGTACTATGGTACAGGAGAGCAACCTTATCCAAGGCCTGCCGAAGTTCGACGAACTTGACGACACTAGCTCTGGGTTACAACACCTGCTTCGGGCCTTACAAGGAACAAAGGAAGTGCGAGAGAACGACCTTATTGATCCTATGGATTTGATAGTCGGAATACAGGAAGACGGAGAGGTGGAGGAGGTTAGAGAAGAATTATTGGGGGTAACCTGTGCTAAGTGCTCTCATCCAACATGTCATGATAACGTGCAGGAACCAGGGTCGGTCACCGAACTACGCCGTACCTCGCGGTCCCCCTTAATACTGCGTGGGGGATGGAATTCAAGAGGGTTCCTCACGTTCGATGGTCGAACTTATGTGCCGAACTACGCCGATGCTCGACTAAAGATAATGAAGACGCGGCATGACTCGGTCCTAGCGGGTCACCCAGGTTCAGCGAAGACCCTTGAGCTAGTTCTAAGGGACTATGTCTGGATTGGAGTAAGGAAGGATGTTGAGGACTACATCGCTGGATGCGCGGTATGTCAGAGGGCAAAGACTAACAGACAGAAACCCCATGGAGAGCTTAAACCACTGGAGGTAGCTACGAAACCTTGGTCTAGCATCTCGATGGATTTTATCGAGGAGCTGCCAAATTCCCATGGATATAACTCCATCCTGGTAGTGGTGGATCGGTTGACCAAATGGGCCATTTTTATCCCGACTACGACGAAGTTAACCGCAGCCGGCCTATCAGAGTTGATATTGGACTATGTGGTGGCCCAGCATGGGTTGCCAGAGAATATAGTATCGGACAGGGGATCGAAGTTTACCTCCAAGTTCTGGAAGAATTTGACCGATAGTCTCGGAATAAGACTACATCTCTCTACTGCATATCATCCACAGACTGACGGACAGACCGAACGAACCAACCAGTCTTTGGAACTGTATCTTCGAATCTTCACCTCCTATGAGCAGAACGACTGGTCAAAGCTACTCGCTCGAGCTAGCTTTGCTTACAACAACACCCAGCACTCTGCGATAAACAAAACCCCATTCTATGCGAACTATGGATATCACCCTCGTTGGGCTGAAGAGATAAAGGCTAGCGAGGTCGAAGTGCCCGCTGCTACGGTGGTGGTAAAAGACTTGACTGAAATACACAAAGATTGTATCGAAGGAATTGAGAAAGCTAATGAGAAGTACGCCGAAGGATACAATAGGAAACACCGGACTACGCCGAACTTCGCGGAAGGAGACCTAGTGATGCTGTCGTTAGAGAATATTAAGACGAAGAGACCAATGAAGAAGTTAGATGTTAAGCAAAGTGGGCCGTACAAGGTAGTACGGCAGGTAGGTTCTCATGCTTGTAAATTGGAATTACCAGGAACGATGGCAGGTATCCATGATGTATTCCATGTCTCCTTGCTCCGTCCTTATCACCCTCCAATATTTCCTGGTCAGCAAGCTGAGCCACCTGGGCCAGTAGAAGTAGACAATGTGGGAGAGTCTTGGGAGGTAAAGGATATTGTGGACTCTAGAGTAAATAAGAGGTCAGGAAAGTTAGAGTACTTGGTGGAGTGGTTGGTGGAGTGGTTACAGACGATTCAGTATCATGGGAACCAGTGGAGAACGTCGATGGAGCTGATGACATATTGGCGAAGTTCCACGAACTTCACCCTACTAAGCCGAAGGAAGGGCGCCTGCGAAGGGCTAGGAGATAGAACGTACTGCATACAACATAGGATTACAGCTACGTACCGCTCACTTGTCCTTACTCTTACCCTTACCTTTTCCTTTTCCTTTCTCCTTCGATCTACTCGGTCCCGCGGGATTGGTATGGAGGCTACCGATGACCGAAGGTAGATCGAGAGTCTCAGACGGGAACGCAGTAGAGAGAGAAGCATTCCATGCCCGATTCATAGCCCCAAAGAAGTCACCGAAGTCCTGGACATCTCGAGCAGCTTGCATGCTCGGAGTCCTCCACAGAGAACGTATGGTCCGTAGACACTCGAAGGGAAGACTGAGGAGGTCGAGAGCAGTCTGGGCGGAAGCTGGGACACGAGAACTACTACGGCGACCTAACCAGTCAAGGGACGGTGGTGGCTCATACGCCATAGGAGTGTCACGGCCGTCGAACAACTATTTCTTAATAGACCGACGGTCGACGAACCTCGGCTAACTTCACGCTCTGAGTCGATGTCTCACCCAACCAGGAGGGCGCAGACGTCGAAAGGGGGTGTAACTACGGCGTACTTCGGCGTAGTTACTCTAACTAGGGTTTTGTTCTACTGATGGCGATGTATCTTGATTTATAGCTATCTCTATCTGTCTTTCACTACTGACAACAATCAAGGATCGCTGAAGAACTTCAGCGATCTTCTCAGCTAATATTATCTACTCCTCCTAGACGTTCATCCAACCCTCTCGCGCTTTGACGTACTTCAACGCACTTCGTCCAACTTCCCCGAGCCCTCGGCCATTGTCCCTACTTAGCCTAACTCCGTCTAACTTCGCCGTACTTCTGCTCCCATTGTCCCTACTTAGACTAACTCCGCCTAACATCGCCGCACTTCTGCTCCCATTGTCCCTACTTAGCCTAACTCCGTCTAACTTCGCCGTACTTCTGCTCCCATTGTCCCTACTTAGACTAACTCCGCCTAACTTCGCCGCACTTCTGCTCCCATTGTTCCTACTTAGCCTAACTCCGTCTAACTTCGCCGTACTTGGTGTCAGAAGTCCTGAGTTACGTGTAGAGTAAAGAGGTTAAGGCGTGATGGGGTTTTGATGGCCAAAGGAGGGTCATTGTTGGTGGAGTAATCGAGGTGTCGCGACGTAGTTCGTGACAGTCGCCCCCTTCTTTAGCCGCGAACGTCCTCGTGAGCGATTACACCTCTGTCGTGTCAAGAGAACTTAGCAGCGTAGTACCCCCATTCTCTCCCTCCCCATGACCATCCTTCACCCTTCTGCTCTTTGCGCCGCACTTCGTAGTTGGGCCTCCTTTCACTCCAAAACCCAACAATGAGACTCCCCTAACTTCGTCGAGGTTTGCCGTAAGAAGCCCTGTGTCTTTTGTAGGTGAGACACGCTTCCTGAATGGCAGCCGAACAACACCGTTGTTTGTCGAAGTAACCCTCGCTTATATTGAGATGAGACACTATAGCGTGGGAATTTTGATCGTCCCTGCGATGCCTTTTGTTGATGAAACGCGAAGTTTGCTGCATGTTGACGACGAGGGTTTAGGTTTGATTATACTAAATACTGAGCAGTTCGTCGAGCTTCTCTCTTTTTCCCATCTGCTTTCAAAACTTTCTATCTCTCTTACCTAGAAAACAGATTTGTTACCTTGAATCATCTTTTATTTCTTTAAGTATTTTTAACGTCATGGCCCCTCCTACTCCCACCTCTAACCCTTTCGCCGCCATGAGGAACTTTGGTGGTATGGTGTCGTCTGCTCGTGAGTTATTCCTCGACACTTACCTTACTTCGCCGGACTTGGCTAATGTTCAGTTTCCTTCGGCGACAGATCTCGCCAAGTCTCCTCCCTCGGCCTCGGCACCCTCTCTTTGGGGGAGCCGTCTGGCGATGTCCCGCCTCCTCGCTCCGCTTCTCCTCCTGCCGGTCCTCCCGCTGGTTCTCCCTCTGCTTCTCCTCCTCCTGGTTCTCGCTCTGCTTCCCCTCCTGCCGCCAGCCCTCGCCGCAGGACGCCCGCCTTTCGTCCTGGTGAGTCTCCGTCCTCCTCCGACCAGGAGTCGCTCAGTGGTTCGGAGTCGGACGATCAGTCAGACTTCGAAGGAAAAGGGGGTGATTATAGTGATGAGGATGATAGAATCGTGTCGGAGGGTGAAACCGAGTTAGAGGAACACTCGGATGATGATATGGTGGCGGTTAGTGTAGAGGACAACAACGTAGATAGTCCTGAGCGTGAGTTCTTCGTCCAACCTCTCACACCTTCGCCGAACTTGGCCTTGTTTATCTGTTCTTTAGCTCTCCAAGACATTGCTAACTCGCAGCCGGTCCTGCCCCTCCCCCTGCTCAAATTGTGGGCCAGAAACGACGCCGTTCCCTCTCTTCTTCTTCTTCTTCCTCTTCTTCTTCTTCCTCTTCTTCTTCCTCTTCCGGGGTTCTCCCCCCCCCCAACGCCATCGCCGCTGCCGCCGCTGCTGCCGCCGCCGCCGCCGGTCCTGCTGCCGCCGTCCCCGTCGCTGCTCCCCCCCCTTCTCCCAGAGGGGAGCCTTCGCCCAAACGGGTGAAGAGATCACTGCGGGAAGAAGAGTACTTGTGGGAGAAGATGAAGTCCGAGCCTGGTCGTTGGATCGCGGTTGGTGTTGACGAAGCGTGTGATCGTTGCCGGTGAGTCCACCTATTTGTACTACGCCGAAGTTACTCCTGCTAATTAGTAGGCGTGAGATTATCACGTATAATCGTCCAAACTGGCCCTGCCTCAAGGCAGTCAGGCCACACAACAAGGCCCTCCGTTGTGCTTCATGCACGTCTGGCCCCTGCTCCTTCTGTCCCGTTTCCTCTGCCCGGGACATCCCGCCCCGTCCCTTCGACGCTTCTCCTCTCCCCCCTCCCCAGACTCCAGCGTCTGTCCCCCGTTCGCGGGTACCGTCTTCGTCTCTCCGGTCGGTTCGCCGTACTTCGCCGGACCTCCGCCCGTCGCCTCCGTCGCCGTCGCCCTTCGCTCCTGTGGCCGGCCCATCACGTCTCCCGGCTGTTCCTCCTTCGTCTTCTCGCCGTCCTTCGGCCTCTGCTCCTTCGGCCTCTCGTCCTTCGGCGCCACGTCCTTCGGCGCCACGTCCGTCCTCTCCAGTGGTAGCTTCTCCTCCGGCTCACAGCACCCGAAGTCGGCGTCCTTCTGTTCCTCCGGCCACTTCGGCGGCCCCTCCCGTCACCCCTCCCTCTGCTTCCCAGAAGACACCGAAGTCTTCTTTAAAGAAATCAAAAGGGCCTTCAATGATGGTGATGTGGAAAATGAAGATACTCAGCGTGCTGGTCCCTCTGCTCCCCGGTTGTCCCTCGTCCACCCTCGTATCTCCCTGGACGTCCGTATTCCTGAGGACGAAAAGGAATTCGCCACTTATCGTTCTCTCGTCCTCGGTCTCACTACTCAGCTTGAGGCCGCCCGGAATGATACATCTCTCCTGCTTGACTTCTCTTCTCGTCAAGCTAACGCTTTAAACAATCTTACTGCGGCGTTAGTAGATGTAGTCAACACTGGGGCTCTGGACGACGAAGCAAGGACAAGGTTAGCGGACGTCTCTCGCCGAAGCCTTACTGAGATAGCCGATGTTCGCCGAAGACTGTTCGACACCCCCTTCCTAGTCACTCCTATGGCGTATGAGCCACCACCGTCCCTTGACTGGTTAGGTCGCCGTAGTAATTCTCGTGTCCCAGCTTCCGCCCAGACTGCTCTCGACCTCCTCAGTCTTCCCTTCGAGTGTCTACGGACCATACGTTCTCTGTGGAGGACCCCGAGCATGCAAGCTGCTCGAGATGTCCAGGACTTCGGTGACTTCTTTGGGGCTATGAATCGGGCATGGAATGCTTCTCTCTCTACTGCGTTCCCGTCTGAGACTCTCGATCTACCTTCGGTCATCGGTAGCCTCCACACCAATCCCGCGGGACCGAGTAGATCGAAGGAGAAAGGAAAAGGAAAAGGTAAGGGTAAGAGTAAGGACAAGTGAGCGGTACGTAGCTGTAATCCTATGTTGTATGCAGTACGTTCTATCTCCTAGCCCTTCGCAGTCGCCCTTCCTTCGGCTTAGTAGGGTGAAGTTCGTGGAACTTCGCCAATATGTCATCAGCTCCATCGACGTTCTCCACTGGTTCCCATGATACTGAATCGTCTGTTCCTTCGTAACCTAACCACTCCACCAAGTACTCTAACTTTCCTGACCTCTTATTTACTCTAGAGTCCACAATATCCTTTACCTCCCAAGACTCTCCCACATTGTCTACTTCTACTGGCCCAGGTGGCTCAGCTTGCTGACCAGGAAATATTGGAGGGTGATAAGGACGGAGCAAGGAGACATGGAATACATCATGGATACCTGCCATCGTTCCTGGTAATTCCAATTTACAAGCATGAGAACCTACCTGCCGTACTACCTTGTACGGCCCACTTTGCTTAACATCTAACTTCTTCATTGGTCTCTTCGTCTTAATATTCTCTAACGACAGCATCACTAGGTCTCCTTCCGCGAAGTTCGGCGTAGTCCGGTGTTTCCTATTGTATCCTTCGGCGTACTTCTCATTAGCTTTCGCAATTCCTTCGATACAATCTTTGTGTATTTCAGTCAAGTCTTTTACCACCACCGTAGCAGCGGGCACTTCGACCTCGCTAGCCTTTATCTCTTCAGCCCAACGAGGGTGATATCCATAGTTCGCATAGAATGGGGTTTTGTTTATCGCAGAGTGCTGGGTGTTGTTGTAAGCAAAGCTAGCTCGAGCGAGTAGCTTTGACCAGTCGTTCTGCTGATAGGAGGTGAAGATTCGAAGATACAGTTCCAAAGACTGGTTGGTTCGTTCGGTCTGTCCGTCAGTCTGTGGATGATATGCAGTAGAGAGATGTAGTCTTATTCCGAGACTATCGGTCAAATTCTTCCAGAACTTGGACGTAAACTTCGATCCCCTGTCCGATACTATATTCTCTGGCAACCCATGCTGGGCCACCACATAGTCCAATATCAACTCTGATAGGCCGGCTGCGGTTAACTTCGTCGTAGTCGGGATAAAAATGGCCCATTTGGTCAACCGATCCACCACTACCAGGATGGAATTATATCCATGGGAATTTGGCAGCTCCTCGATAAAATCCATCGAGATGCTAGACCAAGGTTTCGTAGCTACCTCCAGTGGTTTAAGCTCCCCATGAGGTTTCTGCCTGTTAGTCTTCGCTCTCTGACATACCGCGCATCCAGCAACATAATCTTCGACATCCTTCCTTACTCCAACCCAGACATAATCCCTCAGGACTAGTTCAAGGGTCTTCGCCGAACCTGGATGACCGGCCAAGGCTGAGTCATGTCGCATCTTCATGATCTTCAGCCGAGCATCGGCGTAGTTCGGCACATAAATGCGATCGTCGAATGTGAGGAAACCTCTTGAGTTCCACCCCCCACGAAGGATTAGAGGAGACCGCGAACTACGGCGTAGTTCGGTGATTGATCCTGGTTCCTGCACGTTATCGTTACACGTAGGATGAGAACACTCAGCGCAAACGACTCCTAATAATTCTTCTCTGACCCCTTCTATGTCTTTGTCCTCCTGAACTCCAAGTACTAGATCCATAGGGTCCACAAGATCATTTTCCTTTACCTCCCTTGTCCCTTGCAATGCTCGAAGGAGGTGACGCAACTCCGACGTGGTGGCGTCAACTTCGTCGAACTTCGGCAGACCTTGGATAAGGTTGCTCTCTTGTACCATGGTACTTCCTTTCCCGGAATGATAGTCCGCCCGTCTAGATAATCCATCTGGAAGACTTGCCTGGGTTCCTGGCCGATAAACCATTTTAAACCTGAAGTTAGCTAGCTCCTCTACCCACCTACCTTGCCGAGGACTGAGTTGTTTCGGTTCCATCCAGTAGGTAAGGTTTAGATGGTCGGTAAGTACTGTGGTTTCTACCTGCAATAATAAGTGTCTCCTTCTTCTGAAACCCTCCACTACAGCGAGGAACTCCTTTTCTCCTACCGTATAATTCAGTTGAGCTGTGTTGAAAGCACCAGACTCAATAGCTACCGGGTGTTCTTGACCAGCCGTGTTGATCTGCGAAATTATGAACCCCCAGCCGAAGAACGACGCATCTGTCTGTAATATCGTCTTCAATGTAGGGTCAAAATGGGCTAACACCGGCGCAGTACACATCCTAGCCTTCAACTCTTTGAAGGCTGACTCCTGTTCGACTCCCCATACAAATGGTACCTCCTTCCTTGTCAAGTCATTGATAGGTCTAGCAATCTTCGAGAAGTTGGGGACAAAGCGCCTGTAGTAGCTTACAACTCCAATGAATCCCCTTGACTCTCGTAGATTCTTAGGACGTGGGAAGGAAGTGATGGCATCAATGTATTCTGGGTTCACCGATACACCTTTAGAGGATACCACGAAACCCAGAAACACCACCGAATCTCTTTCGAACTCGCACTTACTAGCTTTCACGTACAGGCTCGCCTTCCGCAGTACCTCAAAGACCTTCGCCGTAGTTCCTCGTAATTCCTCCAACGTATTCCCATAAATGAGGATATCGTCAATGTAGACCACGACTCCATTCCCTAGTAGCTCTCTAAACACCTCATTTAGGAAGTGTTGGAAGACCGCGGGGGCGTTTCGCAGCCCATCACGAACAACCAGAGATTCAAACATACCATACTGTGTCCTGAACGCCGTCAGGTGTTCATGTCCCTCTGTCACCCTCAACAATTGGTATGCTCCAATTAGATCTAGTTTGCTGAAATACCTTGCTTTTCCAAGTTCCTCAGTAATTTGACCTATTAGAGGGAGAGGGTAGGCATCTGGTATGGTCGCTTCGTTCGGTTTTCCATAGTCGATGACCATTCGCCATTGTCCTTCGGCTTTCTTCGGTATCATAAACATTGGTGAGCCGTATGGCGAGTTACTTGCCCGAATTCGGCCAGCGGCGATTTCGCGATCTAGTATGTCTCTCAGCGCGCGTCTCTGATCTTCTCCTTGAGCATAGAGGGAGGCGACCTTAAGGTTCGCCCCCTCCTTAAGCTCAAACTTCAAATCGTAGGACCTTGAAGGGGGAAGGGTCTCTCCTCCCTTCTTCGGATTAAAAACGTCAATGTACTGGTGGTATTGTTCAGGAACTACCTGGAACAACTCGTCTTGTTCCTCCGGGCTCAGCTCTTCAAGCTCATCTTCGCCGCGGAGGTCTATCGCGTCCGTCGGAGTCGGCAGCCCTATGGCCGCTAACTTCGCCGCACTTGGTGGGGTTGGGATGGGAAATTTCACCGAGTTGTCTCTTCCATCAAGGACAACCCCTTCCTTCCTCATCCAATCCCACCCTATCACAACATCTGCGTCGCAGAGCGTTGTTACATCGAGACAAACAGATCGCACTTCGGCGTCCTTCGTCAAACTAAATCCGACTTCGACAAACTCGGTGATGGGTCCAGCGACACTCACCGAGCCGTCGAACATGTGAACGGGTACGCTCACCTGATATCGCCTCTTTTCTACACCTATCTTCGCTGCCGCCCTAGGGCTTATATATGAACAAGTAGCTCCAGTGTCCCAGAGCGTAGTTAGCTTTATTCCATTAATGAAAATGTCCGATTTAGGTTGATCTCTGGAAACGGAAGGGATGAGGAGATGATTATCGACATTGCATGAACAAGGGGTACTGAGTGGTGTATTTTTGTATTCACAATCCTCTGGCTCCATCAGCTGTGTTTCTTTTATGGGTTTGGGAATGGTGGCCGAGAGAATATGGCGGACCCGCCGAGCCTCGCCTACTGCGACAGGTCCTCTTCTTTTCCCTGGTCCTCTTCCAAATCTACTTCTCCTCCAACCGCATTCAAGTTCCTCCTCTGTCCGAGAGGTACTGCGTTCCCTCCCGATCCTCCACCACGTTCTCCGAACTTCCCCCCCCATGGAGGCAACAGTCCAACCTTAACCTTAGCCTCCCTCACAGGGCATTCCTTCAGCCAATGTCCTGCTTCACCACACTCGGTACACTTCCCCTCCTTCCTCCTTGTCTCCCTCAGATCGGAGCTCGGCCTAGGCCATCTTCGGCGAACTTCGTCGATGTTTGGCGGTGTACTCTTTACCACCGTCGACATCATAGCCGCCTGGGCACCACCCTGCGCCGAAGGTTGCCCCTTTTCCCATTTCTTCTCTTCTTTCTTCTCCGTCCTCTGACTTTCCACCACTGTCGTTGTCCTTATCCCTCCTTCCCTTTTCCTCTCTGCCTCCTTCTCCACTTGTCTCCTCCACAGGCGGTTGTCCAAGGGAATCACAAACTCCAATAGCTCTTTCACAGTCCCAAACGATCTACCGTGTCTTGCAATTTCATCTAGAAGGTGCGATTTTAGTCCTTTCTTGGCTCGGTCAACTAGGTTTCCATCATCAGACCACTTAAGAATCGCAACATGTCGCTGGAAGGCGGAGAAGTAGTCCGAAGCAGACCCGATTTGCTTGAGGTCGTTAAGTTGTCGGGCCGCAGTTCCTTCTTCGTCTGGATCACCAAAGTTAGTCTTGAGGTACTTAATGAACTGATCGTGTGTCGTGAGGTACTCAGGAAGAGGTCTTTTGGATAGATCGGGCTGCACTGCAAGAAGAGGTGTTTCGCGTAGATGAGAGATCATGAAAAAGACTTTCTTAGTGTCGTCGGGGAAAAGATGAGAGTTCAATTCGAAATGTACGTCGCACTCAGACAGAAAGGCGGTTAACTTGTTCCGATCTCCTCTCCAGAGGTCTGGGTTAGGTAGCTTTATCCCCTTCCGTTGTTCGCCCACTACGCTTGGGGTCGCCGAAGTTTGCCGTCCCATGGCGTACCTCACTCCTTCTGATATCCCTTCTGCAATCCCGCCCACTGTATCCCTTTCTCTTCTCTGTTCCCATTCCTCCCTACGCCTTCTCTCCTCCATCATGTCTTTGTTCATATTCGCCACCATCTGCATCAAGGCCAACACCACCCCTTGTGTTCCTTCTTCTCCCAAGTTCGCCGTACTTCCAGTGTTCTCTCTTGGGCGTGGGGTTTGGTCTGATCCAAGTGGGGATCCCGCAGGTGGGAGAGCATTAGACGGAGGAGAAGGAGGGTTAGAAGGCACCGGTGGAACGAACTCATCTCCTTGAATTGATCCCCCCACACTATCCTCCACTCCAAGGTCCTGCCCCATTGCTCTGCTAAGCTCCTCCAATGCTCTCCTCTCGTTCTCTTCCATCCTGTCTCCATCCCTACTCATGCCTCGCGTAACTCTCCTTTCTGGTTCCATAATATCTTCGTACTTCTCCGAGGTTCGCACGGGTCGTCGGTAAGAGCGATCCTTGATACTGTCACGGCCGTCGAACAACTATTTCTTAATAGACCGACGGTCGACGAACCTCGGCTAACTTCACGCTCTGAGTCGATGTCTCACCCAACCAGGAGGGCGCAGACGTCGAAAGGGGTGTAACTACGGCGTACTTCGGCGTAGTTACTCTAACTAGGGTTTTGTTCTACTGATGGCGATGTATCTTGATTTATAGCTATCTCTATCTGTCTTTCACTACTGACAACAATCAAGGATCGCTGAAGAACTTCAGCGATCTTCTCAGCTAATATTATCTACTCCTCCTAGACGTTCATCCAACCCTCTCGCGCTTTGACGTACTTCAACGCACTTCGTCCAACTTCCCCGAGCCCTCGGCCATCCTCTTCCTCCTTCGACTAACTCCGCCTAACATCGCCGCACTTCTGCTCCCATTGTCCCTACTTAGCCTAACTCCGTCTAACTTCGCCGTACTTCTGCTCCCATTGTCCCTACTTAGACTAACTCCGCCTAACATCGCCGCACTTCTGCTCCCATTGTCCCTACTTAGCCTAACTCCGTCTAACTTCGCCGTACTTCTGCTCCCATTGTCCCTACTTAGACTAACTCCGCCTAACATCGCCGCACTTCTGCTCCCATTGTCCCTACTTAGCCTAACTCCGTCTAACTTCGCCGTACTTGGTGTCAGAAGTCCTGAGTTACGTGTAGAGTAAAGAGGTTAAGGCGTGATGGGGTTTTGATGGCCAAAGGAGGGTCATTGTTGGTGGAGTAATCGAGGTGTCGCGACGTAGTTCGTGACAAGGAGTGACTAGGAAGGGGGTGTCGAACAGTCTTCGGCGAACATCGGCTATCTCAGTAAGGCTTCGGCGAGAGACGTCCGCTAACCTTGTCCTTGCTTCGTCGTCCAGAGCCTCAGTGTTGACTACATCTACTAACGCCGCAGTGAGATTGTTTAAAGCGTTAGCTTGACGAGAAGAGAAGTCAAGCAGGAGAGATGTATCATTTCGGGCGGCCTCGAGCTGAGTAGTGAGACCGAGGACGAGAGAACGATAAGTGGCGAATTCCTTTTCGTCCTCAGGAATACGGATGTCCAGGGAGATACGAGGGTGGACGAGGGACAACCGGGGAGCAGAGGGACCAGCACGCTGAGTATCTTCACCTTCCACATCACCATCATTGAAGGCAACCTCCTTCTCTTTAGATTTCCCTTTTGATTTCTTTAAAGAAGACTTCGGTGTCTTCTGGGAAGCAGAGGGAGGGGTGACGGGAGGGGCCGCCGAAGTGGCCGGAGGAACAGAAGGACGCCGACTTCGGGTGCTGTGAGCCGGAGGAGAAGCTACCACTGGAGAGGACGGACGTGGCGCCGAAGGACGGGAGGCCGAAGGAGCAGAGGCCGAAGGACGGCGAGAAGACGAAGGAGGAACAGCCGGGAGACGTGATGGGCCGGCCACAGGAGCGAAGGGCGACGGCGACGGAGGCGACGGGCGGAGGTCCGGCGAAGTACGGCGAACCGACCGGAGAGACGAAGGCGGTACCCGCGAACGGGGGACAGACGCTGGAGTCTGGGGAGGGGGGAGAGGAGAAGCGTCGAAGGGACGGGGCGGGATGTCCCGGGCAGAGGAAACGGGACAGAAGGAGCAGGGGCCAGACGTGCATGAAGCACAACGGAGGGCCTTGTTGTGTGGCCTGACTGCCTTGAGGCAGGGCCAGTTTGGACGATTATACGTGATAATCTCACGTCTACTAATTAGCAGGAGTAACTTCGGCGTAGTACGAATAGGTGGACTCACCGGCAACGATCACACGCTTCGTCAACACCAACCGCGATCCAACGACCAGGCTCGGACTTCATCTTCTCCCACAAGTACTCTTCTTCCCGCAGTGATCTCTTCACCCGTTTGGGCGAAGGCTCCCCTCTGGGAGAAGGGGGGGGAGCAGCGACGGGGGCGGCGGCAGCAGGACCGGCGGCGGCAGCAGGAGCGATGGCGGCGGCAGGGCGGGCGGCGGCAGCAGCGGCGGCAGCGGCGATGGCGTTGGGGGGGGGGAGAACCCCGGAAGAGGAAGAAGAAGAGGAAGAAGAAGAAGAGGAAGAAGAAGAAGAGGAGAGGGAACGGCGTCGTTTCTGGCCCACAATTTGAGCAGGGGGAGGGGCAGGAGCGGCTGCGAGTTAGCAATGTCTTGAAGAGCTAAAGAACAGATAAACAAGGCCAAGTTCGGCGAAGGTGTGAGAGGTTGGACGAAGAACTCACGCTCAGGACTATCTACGTTGTTGTCCTCTACACTAACCGCCACCATATCATCATCCGAGTGTTCCTCTAACTCGGTTTCACCCTCCGACACGATTCTATCATCCTCATCACTATAATCACCCCCTTTTCCTTCGAAGTCTGACTGATCGTCCGACTCCGAACCACTGAGCGACTCCTGGTCGGAGGAGGACGGAGACTCACCAGGACGAAAGGCGGGCGTCCTGCGGCGAGGGCTGGCGGCAGGAGGGGAAGCAGAGCGAGAACCAGGAGGAGGAGAAGCAGAGGGAGAACCAGCGGGAGGACCGGCGGGAGGAGAAGCGGAGCGAGGAGGCGGGACATCGCCAGACGGCTCCCCCAAAGAGAGGGTGCCGAGGCCGAGGGAGGAGACTTGGCGAGATCTGTCGCCGAAGGAAACTGAACATCAGCCAAGTCCGGCGAAGTAAGGTAAGTGTCGAGGAATAACTCACGAGCAGACGACACCATACCACCAAAGTTCCTCATGGCGGCGAAAGGGTTAGAGGTGGGAGTAGGAGGGGCCATGACGTTAAAAATACTTAAAGAAATAAAAGATGATTCAAGGTAAAAAAGGTGCAAGTACGATAGTGTGTAGACGATGGA